GCGGTGTCACCGTCAAGCGAATGACAAGTGGTGGAATGAAGAACCACAGTGCCCCCCTCGTGTCAAAATAATGTCATTAGAAAGGCATTGGAGTTGTCATTTTGCCAAGTTTCAGTCCAAATTTTGAAGTGTTTTAAGGTTCATTTTCCGTGTCATTTTGAAAAGCCAAAACTTGGTTCAAAAGCTTTTTGAAGTTAAATAGGTGTCATTACTTTCATTGCTGGTTCAGGTGTGTTGGATTCATTTTGAGTGTTCTTTTTTGAACATCAAAACACGGGTGCTCAAGCATTGCAAAAGCCTTCAGGCTTGATTTTTGGTCTCTGTGCATTTAAAAAAATGCATTTGACAATGACCTTCTCAGTTTTGGCACCAAGCTTTTTGACATCAAATGACGTTGACACAAAGTGAAAACAAAATGTCACTCCAATTTTTTTGGTGCTGAAGAATTTTCGGAATTGTCATGTTTTGAATTTTAGTCAGTCAATTTAAGGTACGTTTAAAGTTCAGTCGAAGCAATTGAAGCCAAGGATTTGTCATTTTTTGGTGCTAAAGAATTTTCGAAGTTGTCATGTTTTTGAATTTTGGTCAGTCAATTGAGGTGTGTTTTTGAAGTTCAGTCGGAGCATTGAAACCAATGGATTTGTCATTTTTGGTGCTGAAGAATTTCGAAGTTGTCATGTTTTTGAATTTTGGTCAGAGCATGAAGCCAATGGATTTGTCATTTTTTGGTGTTGAAGAATTTCGGAATTGTCATGTTTTTGAATCTTGGTCAGTCAATTGAGGTGCGTTTCGAAGATCAGTCGGAGCATTGAAGCCAAGGAATTTGTCATTTTTTGGGCTGAAGAATTTCGGAGTTGTCATTTTTTCAATTTTGGTCAGTCAATTGAGGTGCGTTTTCGAAGTTCAGTCGGAGCATTGAAGCCAATGGATTTGTCATTTTTGGTGCTGAAGAATTTCGAAGTTGTCATGTTTTTGAATTTTGGTCAGTCAATTGAGGTGCGTTTTTGAAGTTCAGTCGGAGCATTGATTTGTCATTTTTGGTGCTGAAGAATTTTCGGAGTTGTCATGTTTTTGAATTTTGGTCAGTCAATTGAGGTGCGTTTTTAAAGTTCAGTCGGAGCATTGAAGCCAATGGATTTGTCATTTTTTGGCGCTGAAGAATTTTCGGAGTTGTCGACTACGTCGACGACTAGTACGACTACGACAATGACTAGTACGACTACGACTACAACTACTACTATTACGACCACAACTACTGCAACGAAGGCGACGACGACTACTACAACAACAACAACTACTACTACTACTACTACTACTACTACTACTACTACTACTATTGCTACTACTACTACTACTACTACTACTACTACTACTATTACTACTACTATTACTACTACTACTACTACTACTACTACTACTACTAGTACTACTAGTACTAGTACTAGTACTACTACTACTACTACTACTACTACTACTACTACTACTACTACTAACTACACTACTGCTACGACTAACTACTACCACTTACAACTAGCTGTACCTATACTACTTACTACACGATCTAACTATACACTACTATACTACTACTACGACTACTCCTCCTACTACTACTACTACTTCTACTACTACTACTACTACTACTACTACTACTACTACTACTACTACTACTACTACTACTACTACTGCTACTGCTACTATTACTGCTACTACTACTGCTACTGCTACTACTACTACTACTACTACTACTACTACTACTACTACTACTGTTACTACTATTTTTATTACTACTACTACTACTACTACTACTACTACTACTACTACCACTACTAACTACTTCTTCGCTACTACTTGTGTTTGGCTTGCCAATTGAAGTCAGGTTTTTGTGCAACTTGGAGACAATGAAAACTGTTTTCTGAAACTTGCCGCATGTTTGCTAGTGCTGCTGTCCTTTGGATGTACCAAAAACATGGAGCTTTAGAAGTTTGGCCAGCATGTGTGCTTCACCAAGGGCGGCTGCCTCAGCAAAAAGTGAATATTATAAGCGAAAAACAGTCAATTGTCAATTTAACCATGCAAGCAAAATGTAGTTTGTTTTGTGTTTCCCGGACAGGTCTGCTTCAGCTGCTGGACCAGAAGCATGGAGCCCAGGGCAGTTGGGTTGTTTTCGTTTTTGGGTTTGGTGTTAAGTGACATTTCCTTTAAGTTTAAGCGTGAACTTTATGAACTGTCCGTTATTGACAATGAATCAGAACATGAACTGTTTGGCTGAGCACACAGTCGCTGGGCTATGCAATCTGCGAGTGTAAGCCAAACATGTTGTTTTTTTCTGTGGTTAAAGTGCGCTGAGGCACGGACGATGGACAATGGAGCCAGGAACCCGGGTAGTTCGGTTGCTCCTGTTTCAGTTTCTAGGTCTTTCACTTCAGTTACGAATAGTCTGTGCATTGCAAGTCAATTGTTGTCATTTGTCACGCACTGACATGACATGAAGTGCAAAGGTTGCTGCAGCGAACAAACCCTTCTGCATTCCTTAGCCATTTCATCCAATTTTGTGTTTTGGGCTGCCTGCTAGCCGGGCTGTGTACGTGTGTGTGTGTGGATAGCATGCCTCGTGACATGTCGTTGTCCAACCGTCAGCAGAAGCGTCAGCGCCGGGCTGCTGCTGCTGCAGCTGCAATGCAGCCTATGGGAATGCCCACGCAGCCAATGGGGTTTGGCATGCCCAATGGGTCCATGGTCATGCCCTTTGGCATGGGTGTTTCAGGGCAGATGATGGGGGGTGGCATGGGTGGCATGGGTGGAATGCCCAGCTTGCCTGCCATGTTTGGACAGACTTGGGCCAATCCCATGCAACAGCAGTTGCAACAGCAGCAGCAGCAGCTGCAACAGCAAGCGGCCATGCAGCAGCAAGCGGCCATGCAGCAGCAAGCTGCCATGCAGCAGCAAGCTGCCATGCAGCAGCAAGCAGGGATGCAGCAGTTTTCCTCGGACTCTGAGGACGACTTGAATGATATGAGCAGTAGTGCCAGCTCTGCCAGAGCACATGCTACTGGGCAGGCAGTTGGGCAGGCGCTCACAACTGGCGGCGCTACTGGTGGTGTTGCTGTGGCAGAAGTTCCCAGTGCGAGTCCTGAAGCATTCACGCAAAGCATGTGCTACGACAAAAGCGACGAGGCCCAAATATCGAGATCGTCTTCCTTGTTGCGGGGGATCCCGCGTCGCCGTCTCACATCGGCGCTGGGAAAGTTGCACGCGGACCTGGAAGCAGGGTATTTGAGTGAGTTGAGTCAACGCGGCTTGTGTGTGCTTCTATGGATTTTGACCCGGTTGCGCCCATCGACAAGAATCTCCCACCTGAGCCTCTAGAGTTGCATTAGGTCAATTGCTTGTTGCCTGAGCCAATTGTCAAAATTAAAGGTTGTTGCGTGCTGCAATGCTTAGGCGTGGCGTCGTACGATCAACTCGATCACCGCTTCCGCCTTGCATTTCAGCGCACCATGCGAGCGCATCCTGATCTACTCACGGAGCTCGCTCGACGCTTGCCTCTCGTACCAAGCGACGATTCAGTGCAAACGCTCGCCCAGGAAATGGGCTGGAATGAAGCGTTCTTCCGCCCACCGCCGCTCTCCTTGGCGAAAGCACCGCCTTCAGGCGACGTCGGTCGGATGCTTCAGGCCAAGGCTGGCCCGAGCCAGCCCCCGCCTTTGGCACCAGGAAGACCGCTTCTTGCTGCTGCTCCAGTCGGCCTGGCTCCATTGGTCCTCCCCCCGCTTGGCCAAAAGGCTGTGCCAGCCCAGCCCGCCCGCCCGGGGCCCGCCGCTGCGGCTGAGCCAGCCCAGCCTGTCGTCCCCGAAGGGCCCCCTGCCCAAGCTGTTGCCAAGGCTGAGCCAGCGCATCGCCCCTTTGTGCCGGAGGAGGGCAATGAGAACGATCTTCCTGATGAAGCAGAGGAGGCAGAGCCCGAGATGTGCGTCATTTGCCATGACTGTATGCTGCTTGCGGAGGATGTGTTGCTGAGGTTGGTCTGTGGTCATGTGTACCATTATGATTGCTGTCTCCGCTGGGCCAATGCAGCCGGCATGGCCCAGGCTGATGCTGACATGCCATGCCCTATGCGGTGCCATCTGGCGAGAGTGGCGAATGCAGCCAACCCGAATGCAGGCAACGCCAATCCTGCTAACCCAAATGATGCAGACAATGGCAACATGGTGGTTCCGGTTGATGCTGCCGTCGCCAATCCAGATGCTGGCGCTGGTCCTGGTCCTGCAGAGGTCGACTCCCCCAACTTCTTGTGAGACTTGTTCCAGGGCACACGTAGATCATTTGTCGCTTTGCCAAGTGAAATATTTCTGTGCTGCTGTCTGTACAAGTGAGCAGCGTTTTGACAGAGTGCGAGACTGTGCTGGACTGGAGTGGCTGTTTTGCAGTTAAGTTTAAAGCCTTAAGTTATGGAACCACTGTGCCTTCCGGGTTGTTTTTGGAGTTCCTTGTTTTGAGCAGGTGTGTTCATTTGGGGAGGCGTGTCGTTCAGTCCATGTCTGTTTCAAGTGGGAGAGCCAGCTGAGCTGGCAGCTGGTCCTGTGTCCAACATTGCAACTGTCAATGTTGGAATTGAGGCAGGGGAAAAGAGGCGCGACGCTGAAAGGGCAAGTGCGCCTTGCTTGTGCTTGCGCTGCAGCAGCATGCCGCTTTGCATGTGTTTGTCACCTTGTTCCTCAGTTGTCAGCGCTCAAGCTTTGCAATAAAAAGTTCTGGCTGAGGCGTATCACCTCTGTGCAGTAACAGTGCCGGTAACCAGCAAGTGTCAGCATCTTGTGTGCTTTGCTTTGGCCATGTGCTAAGACTTTAAGACCCCGAAATCAAGCCTCGACCTTCTTCAATGTGAATGTGTTCTTGGCAGTCAGACTCAACTTTTGTGCAAGTAAAGGTAACCAGCAACCGCAGTGCGCGACCAACATTTGCAAGTGAACACTGTAAGCAAAAGCTAATTGACAGTGAACATGGCTGATGCTGCTGAGCAAGAAGAAAGTTTCCTCCACGTTCCGTCAAATGCAGAAGTGCTAACGTTTGAGAACCTTGAGGTTGCCTTTGGGCCTGTAGGGCTGCGTCACCCAGTTGACGGAACCCTTTATTGGGACCTAGCATATGTGTTTGACGAGTACACCAAAGCTGGAGACACAGTGAAGAGCACGAAGCATGTCAAAAGGCTGCAGGAGATTTGCAACTTGGAGCCTGAGCTCAGCAAGAAAGACCTGCACTGTCGCGGCCCTGCTTGCAGGCGTGTTGTGAGCGAGCAACTTGTGTAATAGTTCTTCCATGGGTTGTTCTTACCATCATTGACCTGCCAGGACGTCTATGGCGAATGTCAATTGCGCATCCACACTGCTCATGTTGTTTTTCCTGAAAGAAGTTATTGACAAAAGCTCTATAACCACCAAATTCAATTGGGCCGTTCGCAAGATCCAGAAGCTTGTTATGCAATGTGTTGCTTTGGCGTACAATGCTGGTCATGCAGTAAACATCACAATGCAAAATGGTCATTTTTTCATCTTGAACCCCAGCGGGATGGTTTCTGGCCTGGCGGAATTTTTGCGCTCCCTTCATCAGTCAATTGCGTCTTCCTGGCAACAATCATGGACTGCCATGTTTGCGGATGAGAAACTATCCGTGGATTGGAGCGAGGAGGTGCCCCTCATGGACTTGGTCCTCTTTGCTCTCACTGTGGTGAAGTTTAGGCGTTCCAAAAACAAGTTGGCTTGGGCTGGCCGCAACCGGTCAACTTTGCGGCTGGTTCAATTGGGACTGCTTGCTTTTCTTCATCAGGGCATGGCTGACAGTTTGAGAGCACATGTGCAGGACAACAATGTCTATGAGGGTCAGGTGCCTTCCCGTCGAATTTCGCGAGACAGGCGGATGCTTTTCAGTGTCGTCGATTGTTAGGGTTTAGTAAGTTGGGTATAGGGTAAGTTTAGGGTTTAGGGCTTAGGGCTGAGGGTTTATTTGAATTATTTTTAAAGTCAATTTTAATTCAATTGTCAGTTGAGAAAGATTCTGAAACTCAATTGTCTAGTATAGGGTCAGTTTGGGGTTTAGGGCTTAGGGCTTAGGGTTTAAGGTTTATTATACTTAATGTAATTCAATTGTCAGTTGAGAAAGGTTCTGAAATTCAATTGTCAATTGTCAATTGTTCAGCCCAGGAATGCAGCTGGCCCAGTCTCTCGCGTCAAAATGTCCGTCCATGAAATCTGGCAGTTCATAGAAGATGCTCGCAACGCGAATGTTTCCATGAGGAAGTTGGCAAAAATTCGTGCTCGGGATCGCCAGGGAGGCATCAAGCCAGGAAGTGTGGATCAATGGATATGCAAACTGTTGACCATGTACAAAGAAGACAGCCGTCTATCCTTGTTGGGCGCAAAGCAAATTTGTTTGGTCACTGATGCGTCGCATCATTCCTCGAGGGACTGGTTGATCAGCCTTGTCTATGACCCTTTCACAGGGAATGGGGCTTTTGCCACAGCGCAGTATGTGAGCTCGTCCAAAATTCTGCGCATTGGGGAATTTGAGCTCACTGCTGAAGTGGAGATGGTGGCTGCCCGCAGAGACCATGAGCGCTTGAGCACCCTCAGGTTTCTTCAGGGCCTTTCCAGCCAGTGTCAAAAAATTTCCGGCCTGACCCTTGCAGACTTTACCCCAACCCCTGCGCTGCTGCAAGCTCTCCGGCCCTTGCCGGCCGGAGGGCAAAGGTGGTTTGAGGGCACCGTTTTGCATTTCACGACTGCTGCGGGAGCAGAAGCTTCGTCATTTGACTTCGACCTGAACGTGCTGCAAGACGTTCCGATGCTCCACATCCTCATGGATCAAGGCTCTGTCGGGTGTGCCTCGCACGCATTTACACAGCATGAGGGGCTGTTGGTACACTATTCGTATGATTGGATCCACCGCCTGCACCGGGACATCAAGGGCCCACTGAGTGGCGAATTAGAAGCGGCGGTAGCCACCGGGGCGTACATCTGGTCTGTGAACTACAAACCCTTCAACTCAGGCGCATTTTTCGCTGAGAAGAAAGATGCCCTGGGGGCTTTCATGGAGAACAACAGTCCAGCAGCTTGGCAAGCATGCTGACAGACACGCTGTGCTTTTACAGCCCTTCTTGTTGATTGATGTTGTAAATCAACGTCAACAGGAATAATAATTGATTGAACCAAGGACTCTCAGATTTTTCAGAAATACAAGCACAGGGTAGCCTGGGAGTTTGGCATGCCCGACGCTTCTGATCAAGAGGTATGGGACGCCCTGCCACTGAAAATGGCTTCCTACTCGAACAAGCTTGGGCTGGTCAAAAGTGGCCGTTGGTTCTCTCTAAATGAGCAAGGGCACTTGCAAATGCAAGAGTTCACCGCAAGCCGCATGGTACTTGAATACTACTTGCAGCCTGAAGAAAGCCCTGATGATGCAAGCCAACGAGAACTCAACTTTGGCAATTTGTCTGGCCTTAAGTTGGCATACGCTGGGCATTCCTGGAGGACGTTTGAGAACCTGTCAATTGTATTGAATCTGCAATTGCCGTTGTGGGACTATTATTCTGACACCCTTCACTTTGTCAAGTCAGCTCAGCAGGGTTTGGAACACCTGCAGAGTCTGGGGGAAGCCTGGGAAAAACATTGGACGCTGCATGGCTTGGCCCAGATCATGGCATCCGAGGAAACCTGGCGTGGCATCGTTCAGTGGTCGGAAGAGCCTAACCGCCTTGCAGACAGAACCCTCACATATGGCATGGAAGTCTTGGCCAAACGTTGCGCGTCTTTGAGTAAGTTGGGCTCTCCGCCAGAATTTTACGCTGGCCTTCTGTCAACAAATCCTGCAAGCCAAACCCAGGGCCTCCAGCGTTTGCGAAGTGACTTCAAGCTGCTTTTACGGTTGGAAAGCAGTGCTGTTCCAGGAGGCCCCAGCCTTGCCGCTGACTTGAGGCTCACGCATGATCTGTGTGTTCGGTTTACCGCCTTTATCTTTCAGGCTTCTGGATGGCAAGCAGACAACCCAACTGGCCTATCCTTTCTCAGAGTGCTGCTTTCAAACTTTGCAGATTCCAAGATTGTTGAAGACTCGCATCAACACTTGCGGGATGCAACTGGGAGCAAGGCCAACAAACAGCTCAAGGGTAGCACTGTTCAGCAGGTGCTCATGGACAGCAATGTGCTGGAAGAGCGAAACATCGCACACCCTGCGAAAACCACGAAGCAAAAATTCCTGTCGCTTTGGCACCGGATCAAACCTGCCTTCAAAGCATCGGAGGAGTTTGTGGCAGCGCGCCACAAACTGGATAAAAGCTGGTCGAAGGTTATTGGCCCAAAGACCTGGAGCACTGTGTCAGAAGTTGCCCTGGTGACCTCAGCGGCTGGGTGGGCCTACCTTCGGCACTATGCTTCTGAAAACATTGCTGGTGGTGGTGTCAAGCTGCAAGTCAATTTTGCGTGAATTCATTCAAATCCTTGTTTTCTTTGTCACATGTCTACTGGCCAAGTTCCAGTTTGTGGTCCATTTATGGTTCTGGAACGGTTTCTGACATTAAGTTTGTCAACTCATTGTTTGGAAATGCTTCAAATTCAATTAGCGATGGTCAGTGATTAGTTTCAATTGTCAATTGTCCATTGCAGGCCGAATGAGGTTCCAGGGGGGGGGGTAGGAGTTCTCAACGAAGGGGGGGGGAAGCATGGGGGTTTAGGGTTTAGGGATTTCGTGGTTGAGTGGACAGTGGATGTCTGGGTGCCTGAAATCATGGTTGGTTTGTCACTTTACAGCTCAGGACGGGCAGCGAGCAGTTTTCGCTCGCTGTGGTCAGGTCATTGCTGAGCTTGAAAACATGGAGGAGGTGTTCTTGGTCTTGGACACTTTCAAGTGGGCTGTGATGGTGTGGCCTTTGAAGGAAGTGGCAGATGATGTAGGCCAGGGCTGTCGTGGGTGGCAGCTGGATGCGCGCGACAGCGCGCAATGCTCCTGGAAGTTTCTGCACTCACCACGCGCATGGGTTGCTTGGTCTACTGAAAAGTGTTGGCAGGATTCTGTGGGCCCTTTGCTTCGAGCGTCAGGGCCTGAAGAGCCTTTTGTGCAAAACAGTTTGCGAAACGCGTCTCAGTTTTCATTTGCTGAGCTGGTCATGTTGGCAGAGTACTTTGAGATTCCTCGTCCAAACAGACACGCCCGATCTGAGCTCTTGCGTTTGCTGTGCAACCATTTCAGCGTGGACTTTGCAGACGAAGTCTTGGAGCTAGAATCCAAGCCCAAAGCTGCCAAGGGTTTCAGTGTAGGCAAGGAATTTCTTTCTTGCATTTTACAGAATCTGGAGCCTGGGGAGAAGCAACACTTCGATAATCTGGACAAAAATTTGGAGAAAGCAAAAAAAGAAGAAACCCAGAAACGCTGGCACGCTGCGCTGGCTGAAAAAACCACAGCGCAGCGGGTGCCTGGGCTGCAAGTGCATTTGTTTGTTCTTACGTTGCTTAATTGTTGTGCAGTTGCAGGTTAACAGTGTGTAGTTGAAAGGGATCACATGGTTTAGTGTTTGCTTTGTGCAGACCGTGTTGGACAACAGGAGCGAAAAGCCAAACGAGCCGCTGCAAAAGCTAAAGCAAAAGCAGCACGGACATGGAAAAAAGGAAGAGGCAAAGGCAAGGGCAAACTACTGCGACCCGGAGGGAGGGGCAAGAAAAGAAAGGCTGAAGTGGGGCCAGAAGGTGCTGGGCCTTCAGCAGTTGAAGGCAACAATGCAGCGGGGTCAGAAGGCAACCATGCAGTGGGGTCAGAAGGAGTTGCGCCTCCAGCAGTTGAAGATGCAGCGGGAGTTGAAGGCAACCGTGCAGCGGGGTCAGAAGCTGCGGCTTCGGTAGTTGAAGGCAACCATGCAGCGGGGTCAGCAGGAGCTGCGCCTTCAGCAGTTCAAGGCAACCACGCAGCGGGGTCAGAAGGAGCTGACCCATCAGCAGTTCAAGGCAACCAGGGTGCC